CTCTGGTATAACATGGGTGATGTTAGCATAGCAACCGAAGCTAAACTGACTACTTGCTAAGCCGTTTTCTACAGGCACTTTTTACCGGCGTATTTTTCATTATGATTCTACTTGTGATAGTCGGACATGACAACCTGTGCAGCCCATGTATTGATTCCATCCGATAGCTGCTATAATAACAAACCAAACGTCTGCCTGCTCTCCACAATGATCAATAACAGCGAACGGATGGTCAAAGTAAGGTACAAATAAACAGAATCACACGAAGCCTGGTTAGTGTTGCCTGACTTTATAAAGCGTGTTTTTTTTTTAACAAGTGTGTGGTTGCGTTCTAGTCACTTTGCTCAGCACTACTGCTGGTTACAACTTTTATTTGCCGTACTCGCCTTAACTGTTAGCTCAGGTTAATCTCGCCCCCCTCCGACGTAAGCGTGACGTATGCGGTTCTTGCTTCTAGACGGACAACTTTTTGGTGCTCGAAACGAACCGGATTCCGGAGCTTAGAGGCGGCTCCGCTGCGGTGTGAACAGGAAAACCCGGTGCTTTTCAAGCACCAGCACCGAACCGGCCCCGAAACACCGTTGGTGTGAATGGGGTATCAGAGGGGCGTGGGGAGGGGCTCCTTATTTTCATCTAAAGTAACAGACAGAGAATCAGCACTTCTGAAACAGAGGGGATTATGGGTAATGCTGCAATGATCTGTTTGGTGTTTCAGCCAATCAGAGACAAGCTCTGGATATATCTGAGACCTGTGATATATTGATGAAGAGGAGGATAACAGGGGACCTTTAAGGAAGAAGCATGCATAACATAGACTCTTATTGATTTTTAAAAAGTCTTAATTTTTGCAAGGTGGAGACGCTGAGGGCCGCCATCAAGTACATCCAGCAGCTGCAGGGCCTGGTGCAGCGCGCGGGGGGAGCACTTCCTGTGGGACCGGGCACAAACAACTGAAGAAGAACCGCCGTCTCGTTAGAGCAGAAGAAGAAGAACTCCAGCTGGACTGTGGACCTGGAGAGGAAGTGAAAGTAAACACTTCCTGCACTCGGACTGAGGAACAGTTTGACTCCGACACACAAACTCTGATTTCTTTAAAGTGCTTTTAATTAAAGATTTTAAAAAATCCACATCTGAAAAACATGGAAACCATAGATATAGATCCCCTCCTTGGACTCCTTTGTTTACTTCTGTAACATAGTGACATCACTGTGGAACACTTGCGCTCCGACACATTGTACGTGAAAGGGGCGGGACATCTCTAAGCGTTTGACCAATCACAACAGGTCTGGCCAGCTAACCAATCAGAGCAGACTGGGCTCTGGTTTCAGACAGAGGGTGAAAAGAGGTGCTGCAATTATTCATTTTTCTGAAAATCTCCAAATGTAGACTTTATTCTGAAAAACTCAGAATTATGACTTTCCTAAATTCTGACCTTTACTGAAATTCTAACTTTTAAAAAAAAACAAAAAAATCGGACTTTTCATTTTTTCTCAAAATTCTAACTTTTTCTCAAAGATCTGACTTTTTATCTCAAATTCTCATTTTTTTCTCTAAATTGAGATTTTGTTTCACAATCACTGACATTTTTTCTGAAAATCACAGAATTTTAGCGTTTTTTTTTCTAACATCTGACTTTTTTCAAAAAAATCCAACTTTTAAAAAAAAACAAAAAAAATCGGACTTTTCATTTTTTCTCAAAATTCTAACTTTTTCTCAAAAATCTGACTTTTTTAAAAAAATCGCAAAAATCTGACTTTTTATCTCAAATTCTAATTTTTTTCTCTAAATTGAGATTTTGTTTTCACAACATCTGACTTTTTTCAAAAAAATCCAACTTTAAAAAAAAAAAAAAAAATCAGACTTTTTATCTGAAACTTATTCTGCAGTAATATAGCCTCCTTATGGGATATTGTTTTGAATATATTTGACATTATGAGATTAACATTAGGCATATTTGAACAGTTATTGATCTTTAAAGATGCATCTGTAGTAAAAATACATGGTTCTTCTCTATGCATTGTAGTAAAAGAATAACGTAGAATATTAGGAATAAGTGTGTTTGAGTAGCGTACTGCAGTAAATATACTCAGTTACTTTCCACTAGTTTAAATGAATCGGTGAGTAGATGAAGGTGTGTGTTTGTGCCGTGTAGCTCCAACAGATCTACAGGTGAGAAAAGGTGAGAGAGACACAGAGACAGTGATCATTAAATATCGATTTCATATTTAATATTCATTGTGAGGAAACGATGAAGCAGAACTTGTTAAACATTAGAAAAATAAAAAGCTTTTTGATTTGTACCTGTGATGAAAATGTGGATTATTTATTCTGACAGCTTTACTTCATTCACTCTCTGTCTTCAATGATTAAGAGCTGTACCGAGTGTTTGAGTGTCTGTCAAGGGTTTGTAAATAAAGATTTGATGATTCAATGTTTTATTTTATAATGAAATATATATTTTTTTTTTATGAATATAAGTGAAAAACGCCCCAGAGGCGAAACCCTTAACAGATATGAAACATGTTATAAATAATAAAATCCATCATTTTTAAACAGGGACACATTTTGATGCAGATTAATGATAACGTTCAGATGTGGGAGTAGCAGTGGCCCTCAGGTGGATCCCTGTGGAACACCACCATATCACTTATAAATAGATAGAACTTAAGATCTACAACTACGACAGGTGCAAACGCGCTACGACTGTTGTTGGAAACTAAAATGTGTTATTTTAACAATGTGGTCACATGACTCCTTCTGATGTTACCGCAGATCTGCTGTAAGCTAGCTAGCTAACGTAGCTAACCTTCAGATATACTGACAAACACTTCCAGTTATGAGACGACTGACTCAGACAGATGCTTTAAAATCCCCCCCAAAAAAAGACACACGCAATTTTTGTCAACTTCTTTTGGTCAATTTCTTTTTTTGTCTGCAACTATTTGTTTACCCAGGGTCAGTTGACCAATAGCCAGGGGTAACATAGCTGCATCATATCAGACCGAGTCATGTGACCGTTTTGTATTTGCAACTTTAAACGCCAAAGCTTTGAACGAGTACAGCTCTGCAGGTTTCAGGTCTTTACGAATACATTGACATATTGACAATTGTATCCTGCATGAGGACGCTTTCTTTTCCTAGAGCTGCTGATTCTAATCATTGATATGAAAAACTGAATGAAGAATCGTTCCTCCTGTTCAGGACCCTGTTCAGGACCCCGTTCAGGACCTTATTCAGTTTTACCAACACCAAGTCAGGGTCAGGGCCACGGGAAGAAAACGTGCTGCTCATTTGTTTTCTGGAGATTCCAGTTGAATAGGAACTCAGAGCGACTGTTTTTAAAATGAAAAATAGCATTATATATTCCCTTAAAACTCAAAATGTGATATCCTTGACGTCCTATGAATATATCAAAATGTAAAATCAGTGTTTAAAATAATTAAATATCAGGAATCATCAGATGTGAATTTAAATGAATGTTTTCAAGTCTGAATAAATCTTCTGTTTGACACGAGAGGCACCACACACACACACACACACACACACACACACACACACACACACACACACACACACACACACACACACACACACACACACACACACACACACACACACACACACACACACACACACACACACACACACACACACACACACACACCACACACACACACACACACACACACACACACACACACACACACACACACACACACACACACACACACACACACACACACACACACACACACACACACACACAGTCTTTGGCTTTAGAAAGAAGAGTAGAAGCAGCAGTTGGAAGAACACTAACCCCTCTGTCTGAGGGTCTGACAGACCTCAGAGGATCCACATTTGAAACTGATTAAAGTGTAAACCAAAATATTTAAAGAAAGGAAACATCCAGATTTTCTAAAATGTATGAATGATTAAATGTTGAAATTATTTGAAAGATAAATGGAGATAAGAATCTTCTCTAGAGTTGATTTGAGACGTTAGCAGGCCGGCGGCACTGAAGCAGAAGAGCAGGAAGTCTCGAGTGTCTCGCTCTCAAGAGCAGCTTCTCATGTCCTCACAACAAACACCAGCTGGCCCTCAGGAGTCCAGGAGAGAGAGGACAGAGGGTTTCCTGGACCTCAGGAGTCCAGGAGAGAGGACAGAGGGTTTCCTGGACTCAGGAGTCCAGGAGAGAGGACAGAGGGTCTCCTGGACCTCAGGAGTCCACGGGAGAGAGGACAGAGGGTCTCCTGGACCTCAGGAGTCCACGGGAGAGAGGACAGAGGGTTTCCTGGACCTCAGGAGTCCACGGGAGAGAGGACAGAGGGTTTCCTGAACCTCAGGAGTCCACGGGAGAGAGGACAGAGGGTTTCCTGGCCCTCAGGAGTCCAGGAGAGAGGACAGAGGGTTTCCTGGACCTCAGGAGTCCAGGGGAGAGAGGACAGAGGGTTTCCTGGCCCTCAGGAGTCCAGGAGAGAGGACAGAGGGTTTCCTGGCCCTCAGGAGTCCAGGAGAGAGGACAGAGGGTTTCCTGGACCTCAGGAGTCCAGGAGAGAGGACAGAGGGTTTCCTGGACCTCAGGAGTCCAGGAGAGAGGACAGAGGGTTTCCTGGCCCTCAGGAGTCCAGGGGAGAGAGGACAGAGGGTTTCCTGGCCCTCAGGAGTCCAGGAGAGAGGACAGAGTCTGATGGACCTCAAGATCCCGTCCTTCAGGCGTCTCAATGTCCTTCAGGAAGTCCCGATGACCTTTAGGAGGTTCTGCTGGCCTTGAGAACGACCCGGTGAGCCTCAGAACGTCTCAATTTCCTATTAATACCTCGATGGCCTTCAGAACGTCTCGATGACCCTCAGGAAGTCCCGATGACCTTTAGGACGTCCGGATGAACTTGAGAACGTCCCGATAAACATAACCAGGACAGAGAGGACAGAGTCTGGTGGACCTCAATATCTCAATGTCCTACAAACGTCTCGTTGACCATCAGGACGTCCAAATGACCTTCAGGAAGTCTCAATGTCCTTCAAACGTCTCGTTGACCTTCAGGACGTCCTGCTGTCCCTCAGATGCCCTCAGTTGCCCTCGGTTGTCCCCAGGCGTAGAGACACCAGGTGACGGTGTGTTGGCTGCAGACAGTAGTCGATGCTGAGCTGGACGTCCTCCACGCGGCGCAGGAAGCGAGATCGATCCCGGGCGAACTGCTCCCAGGGACCCCGTCTGTCCTCCGTCTCCTCCCCCCCGCTCGCAAAGAACTCCTCCACGTCCTCACAGAAACGCACCTGACGAGAGAGGAGGAGGAAACAGGTTCAAGTCCAGCATAAATACATTTAGTCAAAACCAACAGCGGCGTCTAGTTTATATCTGAAATACAGAGGTGGGAAGTTACCAAGTACAAGTATCTCAAAATTGTACTTCAGCATTTGCATTGAATTTAAACTTCTATTCCAACACATTTATTTAACAGCTTTTAACCAAATGCATCTCTAAGAATTAAACGTGTGGACTCTTTAAGTCACAAAAGAGTCCAATGATTTAAAGTGGACCTATCATGCTATATTTAAATGATATATTGTAGGGCCATACCTATATAAGGTATATTTATACGTTTCTGTTTTCAAAATACCAAACAGATCATGCATTTTAGCCATGCCTCTCTGTGCTGTTTGCTGTCTACGGGTCTGATTCTGCTGACCACGCCCCCCTGCAGGAGAGGGGAGACGTGCTCTGATCAGCTGCTGGGCTGTCAGAAGAGGGGGAGAAAAAGAGATCTCCGTCCTCTGGGTTTTATTATATTATTATTAGGGCTGTCAAGTTAACGCAAACAAATTTTAACGCCACTAATTATTTTAACGCGATTAACGCATGTGTATTTTTTGTCCTCGGCCGCCCCGTAGTTTCAGAGCGCATCGAGTGTAAAATACCATCTACAAGCTGATGCTGACAGCCACCGCTCCTGCCGCCCGCTTGTGGCAGACCACACTTCCACGCTCACCTGGCAGGCTGGACTGGCCATCGGGGAGGACCGGGAGTGGTGTGTGTATGGGCGCGACTCGCCGCGGAGCGAGGCACACCTTACGTGTTGTTGTTGTTCGCATCTGTGCTAGCTAGGCTGCGCTAACGGATATAAGGAGCTGTTTCTAATGAAAACAGAGGAGCGACATTTCGCCGACAACTGCGCCGAGCACTTGACTTGATGCAGGTAGCCAGAGAGCACACTCCGTGCGCGCAACATGATTGCCAGCGTCCAGGGCAGCTCCTGTCGAGCATATATGCCTTGAGCTACACCCACACACACACACACCACACTACACACACACACACACAACACACACACCACACACACACACACACACACACACACACACACACACCTACACACACACACAACACACACACACACACACACACCACAAACACCACACACACACACACACACACAACACACACAACACACACACACACACACACACACACACACACACACACACACACACACACACACACACACACACACACTAAAGTGCAATAAGAGTTTAGCATGTCAGGGCGGTAACACGAGCAATCTGTCTAAGCATTTAGCAAAAGTGCTCCACATCCAGACGGAGGAATGCACAAAAAGTCCAAAAGTACCGATAAAAGACCGGATCGATAAGCGGTATGGCTAAAAGTAGTAGTACCGTTAAAACCTTAACGATACCCATCCCTACATCGGAGCACTTTTTATACTTCAAGTACAGGAAGTTGATACTTTCACTCAAGGGAAGCATCCGAGTACTTTTTTCCACCGCTGCCGAAATGGAGCTAAACCGTGAGAATAAAACAGCACCAACTTTGTAATAAAAGCTTTCCTTATTCAATAAATTAATGGACCCTTCATATCAATAACACCCTTCACATTTTAATGCAGATCATCCTTCAGGTTTCTGTGACGATATTAACTTTAACGTCTTAAATGAAAAAGGATGCTCTCATGAATTTAAGAAGTTTTCACATATATTATAATTGTAATTGAGTCCAGGACATAAAGTGTGCAGTTCTCCGTGTGTCCACAGGGGGGCGAGTGAAGTCTGTTTAATGTTCTTCACAATTATCTGAATGACGTATACACACTACCGCCGCCTGCTGGTTAGGAGAGTTATTGCCACTCACGCATGCGCAGTGCGTACGTGCTACTTGGCCGTCGGCTGAAGTCTTTGCGGTGTGTTCCAGTGCGACTGTTGGCTAAGACGCAGGAGACGCAGAGACGTGAGGCGACACCACAGTCGGGTCCGTCGGGACGTGTTCGTTGGTGTCAGCTCGGTGTGTAGCGACCTTTATTCAGAGCGAGGGTTAAATGGAGGGAGACAAAACCCTAGAAAAAGTCCAAGATTTACGAGAAAAAAACTAGTCAACAAACATGTTGTTCCTAATAAATAAACACTATTACCAAGTTGTTTACTTCCAATGATGTGACCCAGAGGATTTGGATCTTCTAATGTATGACTTACTGATTGTTTGAATATTATTTAAAAGCTAGTGAAACATTAATAAAGATAATAAATAAACGCACCTTCTTAGTGACGCTGCAGGCGGAGGAGGAAACGGAGAGTTCAGAGAAGCCGCTGTCCAGACGCTCCTCTGCCTCCTCCCTCCTGTACTGAGGAGGAGCAGCCGGGTTGAGGGGGGGGGAGGAGGAGACAGCCTTCCTGGTTCTGGTCCTGGTCCTGGTTCTGGGCTCCTGAGTCCTCATGGGTCCCTGGAAGTTGAAGGGGCTGTAAGGGTCCGAGCAGCTGAAGGAGCTCCACAGGCGGAGACTTTCTGCTTCATCTGCCTCACTCGCTGAGGTGGAATCATCCCAGGAGTCACTGCCCGACGGAGGGGAGGCGGAGGAGACAGCCAGGGGGGAGAGAGGGAGAGGGAGGAGAGAGGGGGAGGAGTCGGGGGAGGAGTCAGGGGAGGAGTCAGGCGAGGAAGGAGGGATGTTTCTGGGAGGAGAGGAGGTGGCCGTGTGCAGCGGAGCCGTGAAGTTTCGGGGGTCGTACGGGTCAGCGCTGCGACCCAAGTATCTCCACAGACGCTCAGAGTCTTCGTCGTCCGTGGAGTCGGAGAGATCGGACGAGTCTTCGCTGTTGAAGCCGTCATCGTCTTCATCATCTTCCTCAGAGCTGGACCCCCCCTCGGAGCTGTCGTCGCTGCAGGGTTGTCCCATGATGAAGGCGATCGCTTTGTTCTGACAGCGGTTCTGACCCTCTTCCTCCGCTGATAAACCCTTCTCTACCTCCGCTGATAGACCCTCCTCTTCCTCCTCAGAAGTCTCTTTAGTGGGACTACTTTCTGCGGCATCCTGCTGCTCTTCAATCGGAGCGTTCACCATGTTCACCTGGAGGAACAGATCAATAATAAAGAGTCATAATCTGGACACACACACACACACACACACACACACACACACACACACACACACACACACACACACACACACACACACACACACACACACACACACACACACACACACACACACACACACACACACACACACACACACACACACACACACACACACACACACACACACACACACACACACACACACACACACACACACACACACACACACACACACACCTACCTGCACATGTTCCTCCTCCAGACTGGTGTATCCATGGTCCTGCTCCGGGGTCAGAGGAGCCTCCTCACTGCAGGAGGGGGCTTCTGACCTGGGGAGACTGATGGCTGTGGACACCCCCTCCTCCATGTTCTGGACTACATCATGTGTTTCATGGCTTTCTTTGTAAGCCGGCTTCTCTTTGTGTCTTAGTCCAGAAGCTTCTCCCAACGTGGTGCTTGTTTCGGGGGCTTTTGTTGGAGATTGTTGTGGACAAAGCCCTGCAGTGAGGACCCCCTCCTCCTCTTCCCAGGACGGGTCTGACAGCAGCCCTGACCCCCCCTCAGACCCCCAGAAACTGCCCCACCACGACCCACTGCCCCTCGCTGAGTTCCCTGCAGGATCCCAGTCCTTCCCTAAAGTCGCTCTCCCTTCCTGAAAAGAATTCAACACAACATGACTGAAGAAAGTCCTGACAGAAGACAAGTACCCCATCTGAGTTTGCTGGACCAGATTCAGGTTCATTTCATCCGTGTTCTGGATGCCAAGCTCCCGCATGGAGTCAGCGGAGAGCCACGGCAAGCTTTTACCAGGCTCCAGGTGAGAATCAGCATGGAGCCACGGTAAAGTGCTGCCGGGAGCTGCGTCACACCGAAGGTAGGCCAGCTGGGGAGGAACCGGGATCAGGTCTTCCAGCATGAACCCGGCTCCGGTGTCCGCCCGGGCCTCGTTTCTCCCCGGGAGATATTTCTGGAGGAAAGACATCGCGGGCCTTGACAGAACCCCGAGCCACGAGCTTTCCTGAGTGTGGAGCCCGGCGGAGGGGCCTCCTCGCCCGGCCATGGAGGATGCGCTCTGCCCGCTGGAAACATGTCCGTCACCACTCATACTTTTAAACATTTTAGTGCAAAATGTGACTTTTATAATACTATTTATTCCAGTTTTTTTATAGACACATTGACTTGAACACTGCCTGGGTCCTCACACACCGAATACATAGAGTATTAGGTTTATTGTAGCTAAAAACATATAAAAACCGTGTGAGGTTTTTTTGTGATTACACCATTTTAATAACGTCTTTTTTTAAATGTGAACTACAACGCTGTCATAAGGCCAACTGCTTCACCATTTTAAAAAAACACTGCCTTTATGGAAATCAATCTCTTGAAACTAAATGCATTTTTCTCAGTGAGTCAGTCTCTCCTTGATTTTTTTAATTAGTTTTAATTAAACTAATTTTCAGTATGAAAATCCACCTCGACCCAGACAGGGAAACCGGGAATAACGTCCGTCTCCCCGGCTCGCTGCGCGGTGCTGAAACTCCTCTGACAGCGGCGGTTGTTCTTCTTTCTGGAGGAGAATTTATTGGAAACAGTAACGGGAAAAACGGAGGATACATCCAAGTGTGAGGCCGAGAGAAGAGCCATGGTTGTCGGGTTTTAAAATCCCCGTAAAAGAGGCGACGGCGGCCGGCTGGAGATCTCCGGTGTCCGGTGTAGCTTAGCTGTTAGCTTAGCACGAGCAGCTAGTTAGCTCAGCCGTTTGTTAACCGAAGTAAGACAATATTCGATCCAAAACAAAAATGGTTAGATCGTAAACAATGTAAGACTGTTTAATCTAATTCGGTTGACAATACTGTTACGGTTTATCCCGGTTTAAAGTGTAATTTGACCCGCCTGGTAGTTCCGTGTTTCTGCCTTAGTTTGAGATTTCATCAGAAAATATTAAGGGGCCGTCAACATTTTCCGGTTATCACGCACCAGCACGCAAGAGCAGCCAGGGAGCGTCGCGATGTTACTGAGGCAGCGGGGGCGCGCACGCTGTCACTCAGAAGTCCTTTAGTCCTGAAGCGAGGACATTACAGCGAAAGAGACATAGCAGATATCATATAACGCATGCAATAACAAAGAGGCTGACATGTTAAATATAGAGAAGACGCACACATTGGGAATACAAATAAAGACAAATAAGTACTCATCCATTAAAAGTGTACATATTAAGGTTTCAGATACTTTGAAAATGATATATTGCACATACTGACGCAAGCACGCAGCTGACCTGTTACATAATAACATGACTGCTGGCACGTGTTTATCAGCTGGGCACACACACACACACACACACACACACACCCACACCCACACACACACACACACACACACACACACACACACCCACTCACACACACAGCGGTCAGTGTGACTCAATGATAATTTTAGTCTTTCAAGGGAACAAGAAAGTTATTTGTATTGTTAGGCCCTCTAATTAAACCACAAAATAATATTTTTTTAAATAGACAGGGACCAATACAACCCCTGGTATAGTTTCATTTATATATGCATAGGTGTCATTTGCACCACGTGAACCCACCACTTTTTAAAAGTATAACTAATAAATGTTCTGAAAGATAGCGTGCACAAAGAACAGGAACACTGGTTTAGTTTCAAGATGTGTAATTTGGACATGTCAGTAAACTTTTAATAGGACAATGTAATAACTAATATGTCTCCCGCTGTGCAGCAGAAGGGGGCGGAGGCACTACAAATAATTCCTCCTGACTCGACTGAATCTAAAATGACCCACGAACATGTTGTCTGGCCTGTTTTTCCGGAAGTAAATGTTGCTTTCTTTTCCTGTCAGAGAAAAACACACACACACACACACACACACACACACACACACACACACACACACACACACACACACACACACACACACACACACACACACACACACACACACACACACTCAAATCCAGCACTTTTTACGCTGCTATGGACAATCTGGCACTAATGTACATTCCCAAAGATATTGAAGTGATTGTTATTTTATATATTGGTTGTTGTGTGTGATAGGGCTGTGCAATTAATCGTATTTTAATCGCAATTACGATTTTGGCCTGCCACAATTACGAAAACAACATAATCGAAAAAAACGATTATTTTGCTTTGCTAGGTTGTGACAGTGCAACATATTTGATCAAATGTATTTGTATTTATCATATTTATATATGTTTAGTAGCTTGTTGAAGTGCGCTCCAAAATATTTGTTGATCTTGTTTATTGGTATTTATTATTTTGATATTATTTATTTAAATATATATAGATATAAATGTATCATTTATTTTTGTATTGGTTTTTCAGTTGAATTATAGGTTCAGGGAAATCAACACTTAAAAATATACTGTTCAAATTATTATTTGTATTTAAAAGTTCAATAAATGGATGTTTTCAAAGTCATGAATAATCGTATTTAATAATCGTGATATCAATTATTGACCAAAATAATCGTGATTATGATTTTTGCCATAATCGCACAGCCCTAGTGTGTGATGTAGTTTTTATCTTAAGTGTGCATATGTGTAAATGTCTCTGTTGATTGTGTATATATAGGATATACATATTTTATACATATTTGTATTCGGGATTGTAACGGTATTTCCATCTCTCTGGCTGTACACACAAACTGAAAGATTGACAATAAAGTTGACTTGAACAGGCGTGCTCAAGACTCTTAAACAAAGACGGAGGTCATTGGCTTCCTCAATCATGGTCACACACACACACACACACACACACACACACACACACACACACACACACACACACACACACACACACACACACACACACACACACACACACACACACACACACACACACACACACACACACACACACACACACACACACACACACACACACACACACACACGTCTATAGCCTGACTTTAAATCCTGTCTATACAGGTGTTGCTGCAAATAGTCAGGACGTACAAAAAAGAGGGATGGCCCGAAATACAATTTTATTTGTATCTGAAAAAAAAGTGTCCCCACCACTTTTGAAAAAGTATTAAATGTTAAACGTCACTTTCCCATTCTTCTACTTGTTGCTTGTCTTTGATAGAGCCTCACAGTGAAAGCTCTGACCTTAGAGGAAGTATGGAAGAACAACGGAGGCTATAGACACACAAACAAACTGAATAAATACAACCAACATGGCTTTTTAATTCAAGTTTATTTTGTAGTGCAAATAATACAAAACATGTTTCAGAATGAAATGAATACACATTAGTGGATAATCTAATCACATTATGAAGTTCAGTGTGTTCAGTACATTCTGCTCCTGTCGACTCCTTCAAATCACTGCAGCGTGTTTCCATCAGCCAATCACAGACCTGCCTTTTAATAAGAGAGGGTCAGACTCAATCCACCCAATTCAGTCAAAAACCTGCCTTTTTAGGAATGGAAGATCAGTATTAGGTTTATGTAGGTACAAAATAAACCTCAAAAACTTGTGACTTTTGAGGTTGTTTGTGAACTTTAATTGGACCTACAACGCCTCTAATACGCTGTCATGAGGCCCGATAGCTTAGTAGTAGTAGCTGAAATAAATGTTCACTATGAAAATCAAAACAAAATGACAATATATTTTATGTTTTTACACCTGGAATATGTGTTTTGAATAACGGCTGCAACCAACAACAGTTTTAATTATATTTATGTTGCTTTAGATCAATGGTTTGGTGTCCGTCCCAGCTCCTCAGAGTCCACGGTGATGTGTTTAAATGTCCATATATGACCCCTTTAATATGAGTTATTTTTGACTGTGGACGGACCAATGGGAAACACCATGATGTGATTTAAAGCCATCTGATTGGCTAATTAAAGAACTACAGGAGAGCATCAGGGTCAAACATCACAACGTTTTAACCTGAAATCACATTTTAAAGACCCTCCATTAGGTCCCTTCCTCACAGCGCAGAAACACGGAGGTCGCTTCATAAATCCCAAAAGTACAAAATGACGGGAGATTTTTTTCCCCCCCCAAAAAAATGAGGAATGAAAATGAGCGTACGATCAGAGCTGGAAGGCAAACAGGCTCATGCACCGCAGATAGAAAATCAAAGCATCCGCACTATAAAAATATCCCGTTAGCAACACGGAGCTAAGCTAATGCTAAAGCTAAAGGCTTCTCTTAACGTAAAGGAAGTGGACTACGACTCCGCTAGCCTCCGCACGTCAATGGGAATACAACTGTATGAAAGTCAGGACAAGTTTAAATCGTGAAAATCGTGAAATGTGTCATCGTCCCTTTATCTGCTGAAAGACTCCATTACCCAGCATGCACCTGTGTGTGCTGACTGAAACATACATCATTGTTATTGTTATTATATTAACTTCTCTGTTGCTTTTTGAAACGGTGCACTCGGGCCATTATTTGTAATGTACGTCTGTAATTATTCACGTTTATCCCACGAAGTTTTTCCACTTTATTCTCAGGAAATACTGACGTTTCTTTACTGTCAATGAATGACTTCCAATCTCAGAGACTACTCACGTGCTTTACATTTATATCTATGTTTTTAATTGTGTATTTACGCACATATCTGACATTAATCTGATTTAATCTTTTGAGTTATTGCTTGTAAATAACATCTTTAGTCTCAGATGACTAATTAATTATCTTTAAATGGCCCTAACACGCCGTTATAATCTTTATTTTCCCACAGAAGTGATTTATATATTTAAAGATCAGTCAGAAACTAAACCTGTGTGTCTTCATTTAAATTAGTAAAAAATATTTTGTGTTAAAACTGTTCCCGTTAAATCTGAAGTTTACATAAAGTTTATCTCATTCATCTTTAAGTGACTTCGTTTGTTTGAAGTTTAAAAGAATAATAAAAAGAAAGCCAACACTTTTTAATCTAAAATGACCGATAAGAGTCCAGAGTCCCAAAACAAATCAAACGTAGTAAAACTATAGAGCAGCAGTTCCCAGAGGCTAAATAAAGTTCTGATTGGTCAATTCAGATCATGTGACACGTTGTTAATCCAGTAGAGCAGACCGCTGTCAAGGACTGTAAAGAAAGGAGGTTCAAATAAATGTTTCCTGTCCCCTTATTGCAAAGCTTTACTCCTCCCTGGAACTGCAAGTATATTTCATTGTAACTGGTGAAATGTCCTCAACTGAATCAGGGGTTCCCAAACTCTTCAGCCCGTGACCCCCAAAATATCAGTGCCAGAGACTGGCGACCCCCCACCACGTGAATTGTCAACGGGGGGAAGGGGGGGCCGTGCTAGTGAATTGTCAACGGGGGGAAGGGGGGGCCGTGCTAGTAAATTGTCAACGGGGGGAAGGGGGGGGCCGTGCTAGTGAATTGTCAACGGGGGGAGCCTCGCTGCGGGGACATTCTACAGATGGCCAGTCCGCCCCTGAAAAATGTCTATGCACACGTTATTATTAATAATAATAATACAAATAATAACACTTTTTTTTTTCTTTTTTTAAATCATCTCGCGACCCCCCACTTTGGGACCCCCACTTTGGGACCCCCACTTTGGGACCCCCTGCTCTAAATAAAGAATAGTAGTCAAAAAAAAAGTCAATACAAAAACCAATGCCTTGGCGGCCCACTAGGGGAACCGCTGCTCTAGAGGATCCGCCACAGGGCTTTTACTTTGAAAGGACTTCATCTCATTAATCTTTAAGTCACTTCGTTGTGAAGTTTGTTTGAAGTGTAAAAAGGACCTGATCATAAAAAAAAGAAAACCAACACTTTTTAATCTAAAATGTCCGATAAGAGTCCAGACATTTCAAAACAAATCAAACGTATTCAACTCCAGCGGATCCGCTCCAGGGCTTTTACTTTGAAAGGACTTCCTGTGTGTGTGTTCCTCAGTGGGCGGAGTCTGCGCCCCCCAGGGGGTGCCAGTCCACCCAGTGCCCCCCCCGGCACCAGGCCCCTCAGAGGGATGAAGGCCTCCCCCAGCACCGAGCTCTCCCAGAAGGGCCCGTCGCCCAGCACCCGCAGGTGGATCACCCTCTGGTCCAGGTCCCCCCGAGGGAGACGCTCGTACACCAGCTAAAGGGACACAACAACAACAACAATACATTTAAATAATAATAATAAGATATAACATGTGGAAACCCCCACCGCTTTAAAGGTCTCCTATTATACTATTTTTAGGCATATATTATAGGTCTCAGATATATAAAAACATACAAAAGTGTTTTGCTCAAAATACCAAACAGATAATGCATTTTAGAAATCCCTCATGTCCCTCTATTTCAGCCCCGTTACTAAAGTGCTGATTCCAGTACAGGTTAGCTCTGAGTGTTAGCATGCTAATGTAAACACAGACCATATTACTTCCAGAACACGTCTCATTGTTTCTGACAGCAACGTTTCTGATTGGCCCGTGGGTGTAAAGCCCGCCCACATTTTAGTAATGTGGTCATGACGCAGCAAATCTGGATCAGCTCCGTTGTTCCCCCGTTTTTAGAGATGTGGGTACGGAGGAAAAGAGAGAGGGGTTTATTTCCTGATACTTTGAGAGTCTCCTGAC